ATAGGTAGAGGTGCTGATCGGGTGATAACTTACCACAGTGCCTCCACCAGCATCACAGACAACAAAATGGTCGCCAACCTGGAGATGGAAAGTTGTCAGTAACGCGAAAACTGATCTATGCCATGGGGTGCTCTTACTCCCATATCTGGTCTGTCAGACATGTCTTTCAAGGTGGCGAGAGCTGCGGCCTCCGGCTCAGAGATGAACTCTAGAGTGGTGTCAGAAACATTCCGGGGATCCAGAATGCCGGCCTTTTCAATAGCCTCTTTCATGCGAAATTGGGCATAAGCCGGCCAGATTGCTGGGAGAGTGACGACAACCCTAAAGGCGGAAAGCTCCATCATGGAAGCCCCCTCGGCTCGCTCAATGAAAGAGAGGCTATACTTCCATAGCTCTCGGAGATAGTCGCTGATGACATCAACAGCATGAGTACCCATCTTCACCAGGGATGCTTTGGCAGTCTGAAGATGAGTTGAGCCTCGTAGAAACTGCGGGATGTCTTCTTCATCCAGCAGACAGAGCTTGAACCACTGCAGAGTGGACTCTCCGATAGGGGCAGCGTAGCCCCAGAGAGGTGCTTCGTCCTGGTCGGTGTAGCAGATCGCCGTTGGGGCTTTTTCCTTGTCGTTGTTGAAGTTGAAGTTGGACTTCCAGCTCGTGATGATGTTGATCTGATCCGGTCGAGAGGATCTGGCCCATGCCACGCCTGAGAAGCTACACGTTGTCAGCAACTGATGCCACATCCTTGATGGAGGAGCGAGCTCACGTAGTTCCGAAATCGATGCCTATGATGATGCTCGAATCTTCGCCATGGAGGTTTCGTGTTCCTTTTCCGGCGCCTCTTTTGGCGCGCGTGGATCGAGGCATGGCCAACCGGATGCCGAGCAGTACCAAAGCAAGGGAAGATTTGCTGATATCAAACAGTAAGGCAAGATTTGGCCGTTGAACTTTCGAGAGTAAGGGTTGCAAAGTGGAAAGGGGGGTGTTGAGTTGGTCAAATTCTTGAAGATGCGGTGATACAGTCAAGAGCTTCCAAGCTTGGCAGGGCTGAGAAAGGTCGATGTGAAGAGAAGGCCATGCAGGAAGTCAGCTCAAGGTGAGAAAGAAGTGAGTTTGCACGTTTCGGCTGCTCTGCCAGCTGCCTGACATCTCCCAGGATATCTCGAGGAGCAAAAGCCA